ATCTATCTATCTATCTATCTATCTATCTATCTATCTATCTATCTATCATCTCTCTATATCTATCTATCTATCTATCTATCTATCTATCTATCTATCTATCTGTCTACTTGTCTATCTATTTGTCTACACCTATGAATCAGGATGTAAAACTCTCAGCTACTCTTCCAGCACCATGCTTACCTGTTTCTCACCGTGATGATAATAGACTAACTCCCTGAAACCATAAACAAACCCCCAGTTAAGTGCTTTCTTTAGTACAAGTTGCCTTGGTCATGATGTGCCTTCCTTCATATCAACAGAACAGTAACTGAGACATTGAAATCTTGATGTTTTAGCCTCTCATTCCCATTTGCTCAGCTTCTTTCTGACCCATAAGACCTCCAAATATAGGGTAAAAGGAACAACTGGAACAGGAAACCAACCAATCACTGAACACCCTGACTCTGAACCCAGAGACAGAGAAGGAAACAGCCTGTATTTGAGACCTGGGCCAGGGAGAGAAACATCTTTATCCCTGAACCCAGGACTAAAGACATGTGCCCTGGCTCTGAAACTAGTGTCAAAGAAACACACTTTTCTCTGGAGCCAGAGATTGCTACATTTCTGCAGGGGGCTTCCCTTTAGCAGAGTGCTAGCAGAAGAAACATCTTGTGTGGGAGAAGAAGCAGATAGCTCTGCTAGGACGCTCCCATAAGGGAACAGAGCAGAACTCAGCTGTAGTGGCTCTCCAGGAGAGGAGCAGGAACCGTATATCCTGTGGGGAGACCATCCCTCACTGCACCCCAGCTTCAGGTATCCTGGCTTCCTGATAGTCAGGACACCTTTCCTCCAGGGCTGAGCTGTCCCATTGCAGCTCCAGCCTCTAGAGTTGTCCTATTGTGGCTCTACCCCCAGAGCTGTCCTATTGCAGCTCTAAGTATATCCTGGCTTCCCAATAAGTCAGGATATCCTAACACCACTACTGTACCACACCCCTTACACCAAGCCTTTGCTTTTTCCACAGCATTTATGGGTCCTTCATTTAGAACTTCAAATTTTGAAACCTTTAAGGTTTTCCGTTGTCTCTACACTGAAACATTCCAACCAGTTTCCAGACAGCTATCGTGTCCTGTCAGGAAGACAGACTGTGGAAACGAGAGTTTTCTAGCTCCAGAGTGTCACAGATAGCCGAGGCTTCCTTTTCCACCCCATGAACACTGTGACAGGATGCCACAGTGGGAACAGCAGAGGGCAGGACTTTTGACAGTCTCGTTACACACCCTTCCTTGGATACAGGCTGAAGTTAGCCCCATGAGCTTCAACCCTACTCGTTTCAACCCTGGCCTTTCAAAGCTGACCTAGGTCTTGATGATAATGCTTTTCTTTTCAAGAGATGTCGGCCATGCCGACATTGGTGGGTGGTACTCTCTTAACAGGCAAACGAAAGAGTAACCTGGCTATGCATCCCATTCTGTCTTGTGCTGTGGGAGCCAGTCTGTAGCCAGTCTCTTTGTCTGTAGCTCAAGGAATTTTCCAAGGAAAACATTCAGCATGCAATGGGAGAGCTCCTGGCCTCACCTAAAGTCATCCAGTGTGCAAACCCTGCTGAAAGGTCATTTGTGATATTTGCATATTCACAAATTTCATTGTACAGGAAGTTCCACAAATTACAGGATATTCACTGTTCCTGCAGTGAGGCACCAATTACACTCTCAGCGAGGCATCACCCACTGTTCCTGCAGTGAGGCACCACCCACAGTATGCGCAGTGAGGCACCGCCCACTGCACCCTCAGTGAGGTCCTGCCCACTGTACCCACAGTGAGGCCCCGCCCACTGTACCCCGCAGTGAGGCACCACCCACTGTACGCGCAGTGAGGCACCGCCCACTGTACCTGCAGTGAGGCCCCGCCCACTGTTCCTGCAGTGAGACACACACACACACACACTACCCACAGTGAGGCATCACCCACTGTTCCTGTAGTGAGGCGCCACTCACTGCCCACAGTGAGGCACCGCCCAATGCACCCTCAGTGAGGCACCACCCACTGTACCCACAGTGAGGCACCACCTTGCTTACAGGAAGTCTGCTGTCTGCTTCAAGACCGGTCAAGGAGGCAAAGTAGAGATAGAGAAGAAAACATGGGGTGAGGGATGTCTGGGATCTGTGAGTGGGTTGGTGTAGGTGGTGGAGTCAGGAAACACTTTTCTGATTTTTTCCTCTCTGCCATAGGCTGTAGCTTAAGCCAAGCAGAGAGCGTAGCAAAGCACAGAGCCGGGGACACGGTAAAACTCAACCATCTTAGAGCCAGTGAAAGCTCTTCTTTGGTACTGGGAGCCTTCCTAATGATCTCCAGCAGCTAAGGGAACATGAAAAACAAATGTGACTGCCGCTGAGGCTCCCCCAGAGGGCTTTTCCTCAGTACCAATTCCCTTTCGTATTCCCAGACCAGCCACTGTCTAGTATAGCCATGGAAACAGGATGCAGAGCCTTTCAGGTTAAGCCTAGCCCACCTGTCAGCCACTGCGGTGTAGAGAAGAGAAATCCTTTAGTCTCCTCCCACAGCCTCATGACTACCCCAGTAGGAAGTTTGTACAGCAACAGAAGAAGCTCCAAGTCCAAGATGGCAGGTTCAGTGTCTGGTGAGGCCCTATCTTTGTTTTCAAGATGGCATCTTTAATAACGTGTTTTCTTTTGGCAAAGACAGAAAAGCAGAAGAGGATGGTTTCTAGCATCCTCTGGTCCCTGAATAAGGATACCAAGTCAACCTTTTGGGACTGTGACACAGCTAGTGGGAGAGCATCACTGGGATGGACCCTAAGGGTATATGGTGGTGACCTGAGCTCTGTGCCCAAGCTCCACTCCAAGCTCCCACCAACACAGACCATGCTGCTCCATCTGCCTTGCCTTCGCAGCCATGTTAGACTGTACCATCAAAAACTGAGGGTAGACGAGATGTAAGACTGAGCTAGAAGTTTAATTGCAGGTCACTGGGTGATGGTGGTGCAGGCCTTTAATCCCAGCACTCACGAGGCAGAAGCAGGCAGATCCCTGAGCCCAAGGAATGCCTGGTCTAGAGAGTGAGTTCCAAGACAGCCAAGGCTACACAAAGAAGCCCCGTCTGGACAAATAAAACAAAACAAAAAATTCACTGAAGGCAGGACTCCATGATGCAGCTTCCATGAGGTTATCCTTCATGATGAGTTGGAATCTTGTGTTGATGCAAATGCTTGCGGTTACCCACACTCCTGGAAGTAACCCAAGGTGGTATACTCTATAAGTAACCTTAAAAAAATTCATTGGTTCACTAAGGTAGATTTGGGTGGCAGCATTACTTTTATCTAATGATTAAATCATTAGTCTTATCTAATGCCTGAGGCAAATGGCATTTGCTAATGTATCCCTAGGAAAATTCACAATTGTAGAGGATGTATAGAATACATGTATGTCTTACATATATGTATATGTAGTAGAACAACAGTTACTGGAGGCTAGAGTTGGGGTGGGGACAAAGGGAAGTTTTCATTTTGTTGTGTTATAGCTAGAACGTTTGTGGTACCCCAGAATTCCTGTACTGGAACCTAACCCCTAATGTGATGGTCTATAGGCATACAGTTCTTGAAAGGTAATTCAGCCGTGAGCACAGAATGCTCACATATGGATTAGCATCTATTTTAGGTTTCTGGTACTTTCTGGTGCTGTAACAAAATGTCTGAGGTTAGGTAAGCTGTAAGGAAAACAGGTTTATCCAAGGTTAGGCAGCCATTATCGTCTAAGGTTCTGGTAAAGTTCTCATGATGCATTATATCATGGGAGGAAACAGAAAAAGGAAGTAGGGACAAGCAATGCAAATGTGAGACAAACTAAGCCTCACTAATCTCCCGTATCTGTGAGAACTGAGCTAGGTCTGCAACACCCAACCTATTCCTAGAAGAAGCTAGTCTCTTTATTAAAACATCCATCCATTCATGACGGAAGTACCTTCATGACTGAATGACTTCCAAGGACCCCTCATCCTATGCCTGTAAGAATTAAAGCCAGGTAAATTTTGGTGGGGTGAAACCATATTTGGTTCTAGCAATGTCTTTATAAACAAAGGTCTCATTTTCCTTGGCCCTTCCATCACTTGTGGATGAAGTGAGAAGAATATGGCTTTTTAAAAATGTATTATTTTTCATTAATTATGTGTGTGTATACACACATGTCTATCCATGTATGCTGAGGCATTCCTGTCTTTGAGATCAGAGAACAATTGATGGGAATAGGTTCTCTCCTTCTACCATGTAGGTCCCAGAAACTAAACTATCATCAGTCTTAGGCTTTGTGGCAGGCACCTTTGCCTATTGAGATGCCCCCTTGGCCTAGAATCACAAAAAGAAAACAGAGGAAGAGTTACAAATACGCACAGCCCATTAAAAGCCTGTTTCTCACTGATGTTTGAGGAGAGGTGCTTTAGATCCTGAAGGAGATGTGTCCTTCACTAGCTGCGGAGGCTGCCTCTGGTAATGAAGCCATTGGGAAATCTTCTTTTTGCACCTTGACTTTCTCAACCTCTTGTAGATTGTTCAGCTCCCTTCTTAACCCAGGGGCTTTGCCCTCTGACCATAAACCAGGCCTATGGGGAGCCAGCCTTCTACTATGAGGTTCTAGACAGTTAATAATGGAAAGATACAGGAGAAGCAGATTCCCACCCTGCCTTTCTTCAACTGCCACACTGCTGATACATCCCAGTACAAGAACTGAGAGCAACTTTGATATTTCTTTAAAATTCTCTGAAGCCTTGGAGAATACCCAGGGCTCTTTAAAGGGCATACACAGTGATGCGATTTCCTTACCAGGAGCGATGTGAAATTAGGGCAAGGATCAGACTTGCTAGTCATGGTGTGACTGTCTCATGTTGCAGAGAGGGTTACATGGAGAAGTTGTAGGATTTTGTGGCTCTTGACAAAGCTTCCCAAAGTTTAGAATTTACTCAAAACTTATTATAATCTCAACAGCACAAAAGCTACCATTTCCTGAGACCCTGAACCTGGAAACTTGTGGACAAGCTAAGCTAGAGGATGAAGTTCACTGACGGGAACAAGAGTGACCCTGTCTCAATCTCAAGCAAGGCAGAAGGAAAGAACTTGCTTCCAAAAAGTTGTCCTCTGACCACCACACATGAACCATGGTTATTATGTTCCCCCTCAACTCTCTCCCCCTCTGTGTGTGTATGTGTGTGTGTGTGTGTGTGTGTGTGTGTGTGTGTGCAAATAAGTTGACCTCAGTCTCCCCACTCAAGGTGACCTGTAATTCCTATAGCAGACAAAGAATATATAGACACAAGTAGTTAAAATTTTTTATTTTGTGTGTATTGTGTGTTTGTCTGAATGTATTTCACATTCCCATGAGGGCTATGAAAAAGTCTCCATGGGGTTGGAGTTACAAACAGGCAACTGTGAGCATCTGATATGGGTGCTAGAGACCCCAGTTTTCTGGAACAACAGAAAGAGCCCTCAACCACTGAGACATCTCTCTAGTACCTCAAATGGTTTTAAAAGGAAGTTATTTTGAGCTAGAACATTCTAATTTGGTTATGGTCATTCATCTGAAAATCCTTCCTTAGTACCCCACTTAGAGGAAACAGCATGAGAGATAGAGAGTAAACTGGAATGAGGAGAAACCCATGGTTATTCAGGCAGAATTTCCGTCCACAATTGTCCTTTCGCTTTTGGAAACTCTGAGTCTCTGTCTGGACTGCTGAAGCCCAGTCTCCGCTGATGAAAGAGGGTAAGCTAAAGAAGAGGGTCCAGGGAAGCCAAGGAAAACCCCTTTTGTTCACTGAACTTAAGGCAGAACAGGGCAGTACAGAACCTGAAGTTCCGACAGAACAGACAGTGCTCATATGTGAGAGCGGCGCCCTGTTCCCAGAAGAAGCTCTGGGAACGCTGTTTTGTATTGACAGGTGTGCACTGCTTGACACGAGGCCCTTTGTCTGGAAACATTGCTGCCTAATTTCCCGCTATCTGAAGCTTACTTGTGTCCCCCAGACAGCCAAGAGCCACCCAGCTGCTCAGTAAACAGAGGCTGAAGTTACCAGTGTCCAAGTTTGGCTCCTATTGCTGTGCTAGAAATCATGACTATAAACAACTTGAGGAAGAAAGTTTATTTCTGCTTACATCTTATAGTCCATCACGAAGGGAAGTCGGGGCAGGAATTCAGGGAACCCGGAGAAAGGAACTGATGCAGGGAACATGGAGGAATCCTGCCTGCTTCCTGGATTGTTCTCTGTGGCTTATTCAGCCTGCTTTCTCGTACCTCCCAGGACTGCCTGCCCAGAGATTGCCCTACCTGGAGTGGTCTGGACCCAACCACATCAATCATTACCTAAGAGGGTGACCTACAGGCTTGCCTGGGCTTGTCTGGAGGAGATAATTCTTCAAGTATAGTTCCCCTTTTCCAGACGACCCTAGCTTATGTCAAGTTGACAAGAATTAACCAGCACAGAAGGTATGCTCTGCCACCCACAAGGACAGGGCCTTTGGTCTTTTATATAGAGGAAGGGTAGTAGCTGTGCCATCTCTACAGAAAAGCTGGATGGTGTTGTGGCGTATTCCTCTACACTGTGTGAAGATGTGTCACTGGGATTGGTTTAATAAAGAGCTGAATGGCCAATAGCTAGGCAGAAGGTACAGGTGGGACTTCTGGAGACAGAGAGCTCTGGGAAGAAGAAAGGCCAGTGGCTAGTCAGAAGCAGAGAAAGAGAGCAAGACATACAAGAAGAGAGGGAAAAGCCACGAGTCACATGTCAACCTGTAGATGAATAGAAATGGGTTAATTTAAGTTATAAGAGCTAGTGGGATAAGCCTAAACTACAGACCAAGCTTTCAGAATTAATAATAAACCTCCATGTTGTTTTTTGTGTACTGTCAGTCCAAAGAAAAATCCATTTACAGACAGGCTTTTTTTTCTTTCTTTCTTTTTTTAAAGATTTATTTATTATGTATGCGACATTCCTTCCATGTATGCTTGCACACCAGAAGAGGGCACCAGATCTCATTACAGATGACTGTGAGTCACCATGTGGTTGACTGGGAATTGAACTCAGGACCTCTGGAAGAGCAGTCAGTGCTCTTAACCTCTGAGCCATCTCTCCAGCCCCTACAGACAGGCTTTCAACACATGAGAATTATGTTGGGTCCAAGGCAGCAGAAACTCTTGGCTGAAACAGACAAAGGTCAAGACCAGCTGTAGGTAGCAGGATTACTTGATATCAGTTCTGTTCAGTTTTATCCTGCTAGTCTATGCTGAATATCCCAATACGTATTTCTCCGGTATCTGCAGCCTACACCTGAAGCCAGATTTGAACCAGAATCTGCAAGACCCCCTGCATGCAAGGCTGGTTTTCTCCAGGAGGTATTGAAGGATAGCAGACACATACCCAAGATGGGGTTCACAATCCCATAGAAAAGACATCAGCAGTTCTGACCTCGCTGATGGATCTAACTATTGATCAAGGAAGAGTGGCAAAGGAGAGGCCAGCTGATATATTTAAAAGCTACTTCCTCAGGCACAAGAAGAAAGATATGGGTGACTTTCCTTTAAGATAACAGAGCTGACTTTTCATAGATGCACTAAAATGTCTCCTAAGACATCCAAAAGACTTGACTCTGGCTACCACAGATAGTCTGCCTCTCCAGTGATCCTGCCAAGGATGAGACGATATAGGGACAGGCCTGGCCCTTCGCATTCTTTTTCAAGACAGCAGGCATCCATGGCTCTATGAGCAGAGAGCTGAAGATTCACTTGGGTCCTCCCAGGATGGAGGAAGGCTTGCTTTAGGTTGCCCCATGTGATCAGGGCTTCTCAACCTCCTAATCTCGGCCTCCAGTAGCAACTGACTCCCATTTGTAGGAGAGTTTATAGCCTTCGCTGGGTTTGACCCAAAGCACTGCATATGGATGGTTGGGTTGGGTGAAGGGTTAGTGCCTTTCCGAGTGCCTTCACTCAGGTGAGTGTGGGTACCAGGAAACTCAGGATTATGATAGCTGATGAATAGCAGGCCTTCCACTATGAACTGGTCATGGGTATGAATATAATAAAGGGTGCCACCACATGTCTGGGTCTTCTGTCAGTTTGCTTTCAGATTCAGTTATCAGTTAAAACATGCCTGAGCAGGTTAGATTAGTTCTCAATATGCAGGACAGTTTGAGCAGGTTAGATTAGTTCTCAGTTTGAATGACAGTTTCTGTCCCTCTTTGCTCTAGGAGACATCCTCTCCTGAATGGCCCCTTTTAAAGGACTTTCCATTTCTCCTAGCCTTCTCACCCTCTTCAGCAAAACGATGCGTGGGCAAGATGGATACAGTGTTGCCCTCCAGCAATCCCAGCACTCCAGAGACCAAGGGAGGCTTACTGCGGGTTCAAACCCAGCCTGGGCTACATAATAAGACCACAGCTCAAAAACAAATAAAACTCCATGAACTCCCCTCCCACACACCGAAGTCACCGTTTAAAAAAATGAAGCTAGTTCATCGTTCATCAGCTGGGCCTCACTGTCCGGTGCTATGGTAACTCATCTTACCTGTCCAACTGGTTGGATTGGAATGCCTAGAAAACTGATAAATAAGATTTCCACTTGTGCCTAGTAGGGTGTGTGGCTCAGTGATCTGAATGCCTGGATGCCTGGGTGGGGGGTCTTCCACAGGCTGGGGACCCTGTGAAACAAAATGAGGAGGAAGGGGACAGCTCACACATGTGCACCTCTGTTCAGCTCTTCCTGAGTGAGCAGTTTTTAGGGCTGCGATCACCCACAGACATCCTCCTTAGGCTTCCCGAGCCTTGCAGCGTGGACTCGCAGCAGTAACCCTTGGGAGTTCCCAGGCTTTCCCCGTCAGGTTAGAGTTGCATTATTTCCCCGTTTGTTCTGAGGCATTCAGTCTTCTGGATCGAACAGCCACCCCAGTCTGCATACAACCACTGTCTGACCAGCCAGTGTCAGCTGGAGCAAGCCAACTAATAGATCATAATCTACTTATGAGCACGCAAGGAGGCACATGAAGAAATGGCTAATTCTGTTCGTTTTTACTTTTCATCCATTTGTTGTACTTACGAAACAACTTTCTTCTGTGCCTCTAGTGTTCTTGTGAAACCAATTGGTTGGGCTTTCTGTCCCTAAGATAGGTCCCTTTTGGAGGAGGGGAGGTCTCCTGCCTGTGAGTTGAAAGGGTTAACTCTCATAGGATGTCAGCTTAAATGGTTTTACCTCAGCAACTTGGAGATTGTAGTATAATATATAATATAATATAATAATACAATACAAAATGTATTACGAGTTACCAAAAGACAAAACTGAAGCAAACTGAGTTTAAATATCTTTTATAAAGCCAAGCATGGTGGCGCACACCTTTAATCCCAGCACTCTGGAGGCAGAGGCGTGCGGATCTCCTGAACTCAAGGCCAGCCTGGTCTACAGTGTGAGTGTAGCAATTGCTACAAAAGAAACCCTGTTTTAGAAAAAAAAAAAAGCTAAAAAACAACAAGATAAAGATTTAGTATGTGTGTGTCTGTGTGGAGGGAGGGGTGGGTGGGATGGGGGACAGTTCATGATCATCAGTGCAGGTACCAGAGAAGGCCAGAAGAGGGCGCACTCAGATCCGCTACAGCTGGAATTAAGTGGTTAAGGAGTTGGACAAGTTGTAAACCACCAGATGGGGACACTGGGAACTGAGTTTGAGTCCTCGAGACCTCTACGATCTCTCCAGTGAGCCAAGCAGAGGAGCCTGAACTCGCACTCAGAACAGGAACGAGGAGAGTAGAAACAGAGGACAAAACTTAGATTCCAAGGTCAGTTTTCTTATAAGATTAAAGGAGAGGAGAGTGGGAAACCGAGCTGATGGAGGATTGATCTTTTAGCGGTCAGTTTGCTCTTTTCTTGGACAATCAGATGGTTGTTTTAGTCTCTCTCTCTCTCTCTCTCTCTCTCTCTCTCTCTGTGTGTGTGTGTGTGTGCGTGTGTGTGTGTGTGTGTGTATTGGAGATGTGGGTCCAGCTTAAGGCTCCATCCATTCTTGTTTTGTTTGTGTTTGTCCGACTTTGATGTGGTGAGGATAGCACCTAGGGCCTTGCACATGATGGACAGGTTAGGACAGGTTGATTTACTCTGTCCAGCTCAGGGCTGGAGCTCAGTTCAAACCACTGGTCTCCTATACAGTTTACTTAATAGAATATAAGAGTGCATTCCACACATGCTAATTGAGTCTTTCTAGTGTCCAGCATTATGACAGGCTCAGGAGACAGTAAGGCGGTAGTTATCGACACTAACTTATCTGTGCGTTACTGCATCGGCAACTTGGAGTGGGATACGTAGAAACTGCACCATTCTTTCTTGGACAGCTGTCCATGCCTCGTATGGGAGAGGTTTGATGTGGAATTCCCCTTTGTATGCTGTCAATACCATTGGTTAATAAAGAAAACTGTCTTGGGTCTGCACAGGAAGTAGAGGTAGTGGGGGGGGAACTAAACTGAGTGCTGGGAGAAAGGAGGCAGAGTCAGGGAGAAGCCATGTAGCCCTGCTGCCGGAGACAGACACTGAAACTTTGCCGGTAAGTCACTGCCACATGGCGATACACAGATACATAGAAATGGGTTAAGTTAATATATAAGAGTTAGCCAATTAGAAACTAGAGCTAATGGGCCAAGCAGTGATTTAAATAATATAGTTTCTGTGTGATTATTTTGGTTCTGGGCAGCCGGGACGAACAAACAGCCTCGTTAAACAAAAGTTGTCTGTTTACACGATAGGGTTGTCTGGATTCTGGCACCCAGGCCCTTCTTGACTTGGTTGAGTCATTGCTTGTAGCAAGTAAGCATATCCTAAGATAAGACAATTAACATAGGAAACACTGTTAGTCACTATTGTGGCCTGGGGCTCACTGCACTGTCTACACAGTGATTCTACTGTGGTTTGGTGCCTTCCCTTTGAATATGGATATGACGGCCATGATCAATCCAGAGGACATGCAGGGTTGCAATCTGCCTTCTTTGAGATCTCCTTCATCAACCTTTATCAGCACCTTCTCCTAACCTAACTTATGACGTGGACAAATGAACTTATTGCTTATTTAAAGACTTTCTTTTGTTAGCATCAGAGAGATAGCTCAGTGCTTAAGAGTTGGGACCTCAGTTCAGTCCCAGCAACCACATCAGGCAGCTAACAACCTGGCTGTAGCTCCAGCTTCTTGGGGCTTTGGGGATGGGGGTCTGACAGCTCTGGCCTCCTTTGGGCACTAGTATTCATGTGTATATGCATATATACAGATACATTCACATACACACATTAAAATTCAATCTTTAAAACATTTTAAAATTACACGTATTTTACTTACTGCAGGGGCGTTCTATGTTCACATGTGTGTGCCAAAGCACATGTGTGGGAGTCGGAAGATAACCCAGAGAAGCCAGAGCTCTCCTTTCTGCCATGTGGGTCTGAGGGAATCTAGCTCAGGCTGCCAGGCTCGGCAGCAGGTGTGTTACTGGCAGAGCCATCTTGATGGTTCAAGCTAGTTGCTTCTGCTCCTGCTAGCAGTTACTTAGCTTGCCATCCTAGACAGCAAGAAGTCTCTCCACAAAGCCTTAATATTGTCTCCCTTGTTTTAGACTACTCTAACTGGGGTTCATATGCAGGGGAGAAGGGGGCGGGTATTTCTAGTTCAGTGTCTGCACCCACCCCTACCACTGAGAACATTCTTCTCCTATTAATAAGATCTCTGTACTTAATTCTTGGTGAAGAGAGGAAGCAAAAGCATGGGCTCTAAAGATGGCTTTGGGAAAAGAGAGGAGAAGGGAGAAGAGGAGACAGGAGTGGAGGGGAGAAAAGGAGAGGGGAGGAGCTGGATGGACAAGTGAGAATTCCACTTTTCCCCTTCCCATTCTGCTTCACGGCTTTGCTCACAAAGTCTGGTCCACAGTTCCGCCATCGTACTGCCTGCCGTACTGCCTGCCGTACCCTGTCCCTTCTCCGAAAGGTTGGATCCACTTTCCCACATCCTGCTCCTACTGCTGCAGTTTCTAAAGGAAAGAATCATGAAAACTGAAAACTTGGCTTGTTAAGAAAAGCACTACATTTCACAGGGCCCCCATGGTCCTCATACAACTTCCTGGTTCACCCTGAGAACCTGCTTCTGTTCACTGCTTTGTCCAGATCACTGAGTTCCCCCAAAACCAATTAGGAGACTGAGTCCTGTATGTGAAAGCAAAGAGTCTTTATTCTTACACAAGTTTGCAAACTCCAACTCTCGGTGTGTCCACCGTTCTGGAGTGATAAGAGAGCCCAGAGTTTATTTAGAGTTGGTTATTTTGTAGCAAAGGATTTCTAAGGTTCAGGACCTCTGATTGGCTGACATTTGTCTAGGTGTTTCCTGGTGAAAAGCAATGGGTGTGTGCTGGCAGGTGATCCTATCTACAACAGCTGGAATGTTAGGAATTCCCTTTAGACAGTCAGTTCCTGGGTGGTGCCTGGGTTGTCTCAGTTTGTGGTCTTTATCAGAACCACATATTGTCTTAGGGTAAACTACTGAGACTCAGGCCTCTACAGAGATTGTCCTGGCTGGGTCCCACGTCCACTGAACTTGACCCTTCCTTTTACGGTCCAAGCAGGTGCTGCCTACCTCCACACCTCTCCTGCTTTCTCACTCACCCGTCCTCAAGCTTCTGTGAGGCCCCTACATCTGGCACCTGTGACTTCCCAGTCATACCTACAGACTCAGCGACACACTGCAGCTCACACACAGGAGATGCAGCCTGAATCTCCTAACCCTAACCCTAAAGAGGAGATGAAAAGGAATCCTCTTCATCTTCACCTCCTTCATCCTTTCCTCTAAGCCTCCTTGGGTTACTTTCTACGGCAACTTTTAAATTTATTTTATGTTAGTATTGATTTTCTTTGTTTGTTTGTTGAGAACTGCCTAGCCCGGAATTCACTATGTAACAGAGGCTGACCTTGAGCTCTTGATCCTTTTGTCTCCTAAATGCTGGGATTGAGGTAACTGTAAAACAGGATTTTTAGTTTAGGGAACCATCAAGGTGAATCACAGGAATTATGACTTGCCTTTTATTTGGGCTCACAAGTAGTGAGCTCTCACCACACATTTGGGTCCTTGTAATCCCAGAGAAATTCTCTCTCTCACTTGGGAGAGACCCAAAGGCCTTGCCCCCAGGAGTGGAAGGTTTTTGTTCAGCTGGAGTGGCCAAACAGATCAGCTTTAGATCTGAGATACCTGGCCCACTGACCGTCATGACCTTGCTGTTATTAACCCTGGAAAACAAATGAGTTTCTTTCCTCTCTCCAAACCAAAGCTAGGTTGAAAGTGACATGGTGACAGAGGTGAATTGATCTGAAGGGTCAGAATTACCTGGAGTGATGGGTCAACCTGGCTGGGGACCCTTCAGCTGTGTCCTGACTTGAGAAAGTGACTCCCAGCAGGGACAGCTGAAGTGAAAAAGAGA